CCCCTTGCAGTCAGTGGAGGCCACGAGCGAGCCCTCGCGCCGCTGCTTGTTTTTCTTCTTGATGGGATGGTTGGAGGCGCCTTCGCTGGCGTCCTCATCCCGCTTCGCCTTGCCTTTGAGGCGGTCAAAGATCGCTCTGACCACCTCCTCGCCCGAGGCGTGGCTGGTGGCGATGTCGAGGAGCTCCTTGGTGGTTTGTGGGCCCTTACGTCCTAGCTTGTGAACTAGGGACTCGCAGGTGGTCCCAAACAGGAAAGCTCCTATAACGTCGGTGTCGGCGATGTTAGGTAGCTCATTGCACTACCAGGAGAACTGCCGGATGTACCCATGGAGGGTTTCTTCGGCCTTCTATCGACAGTTTTTTAAATCCCATGGGTTCCCAGGAAGCTTGTACGTGCCCTAGAAGTTCCCCACAAAAATCTCTTTCAGGTCCACGCAACTTTGGATTTCGTTGGGCGGAAGGTGTTCCAACCATGTTTGTGCCGAATCGGCGAGGAACAATGGAAGGTTGTGGATAATGAAGTCATTATTATCCGCTCCACCGGCTTGGCAAGCAAGCCGATAATCCTCAAGCCATAGTACAGGGTTCGTTTCCCCAGAGTATTTCAGGATGTTGGTTAGTGGTCGGTACCGTGGCGGGAAGGCGGCGTTGAGGACGTGTTGGCCGAAGGCCTGAGGTCCTGGTAGGGCGGGGCTCGGGCTTCGGTCCTCGCCGTTGTCGTAGCGTCTGCCATGACTAGGGTGGTAGCCGTGGCTAGCTCCCTCCCTCGCATCGCCATGGGTACACCTGTGGGCGTTGAGGGTGTCGCACGCGTCACGGTTGCGGCCGAGACGCTAATGCACCAGGACCGCGGTGCACAGCCAGCCTCCTTGCGGTGCCTGGTGGACTAATGCGTCCTTGTCGGGTCGCTTCGAGGACGCGTGCTGGCTGGCGTCGAGCTCGCGTCGTCAAGACAATGAGTTTTTGGCTTGCTGCGCTGCCGCACGCTCGAGTAGCATGCGAATCTCGTGATGGGCCCGATGATCCTCAAGCGTCATGGGCCCCAGAAGCCCCCGGAGCAAGGCCGTTGCTGCGATGATGTTCTGGCTCACCCGGGCAAAGTGCGGGAGTGCTTCATCGTCATCAATGATCCTCCAGTTCATGTCGTGGGCCATGGCGTGAGCACGCCCACCGTCTCCATGGCGCTCGATCTCTCGATCGAGCTCCGTGCATTCCTGCATGAGCTGGAGTCACGCTTCCTCGAGCTCTTGGTGTAGGGCCTTCAGCTGTTCCACCCATAGGTGAGGCGGGGCCCCTGCATCCCCCCGACCTCATCGTTGAGGTCATTCGTCGGGGTAGCTTCTTCCTCGTGGATGCTTTCGACGTGTCCCTCGGGGGTACCACCATGAAGCACTCACGAGAGGGGTGATGGCTCCCCCCGCTAGAGTCAAAGCTGGAGGGTGACTCTGATTCTTCTACGAGGAGGTCGTGGAAAGACTCCACGACATATTCGGTCATCCCCATGAACCCGTCGTTCGCTGGGGCTGGAGGAGTGCGTTGTATTGTGCCTCTTCTAGTATGTATTGTGCCTCTTCTAGTATGTGCATCTACTAGGCATGTAGTGCCGGCCATAACCTAGTAGATGAGGGGCTACTGTTGGGACATGCCATATTCATATGGGCCAAGTCCCCTAGAAGAGGCCCAACTAGCGCCATTGGAGTGGCATGTAAAACCCACCCCCACCGAGGGGTCGCTTGTAAATTTCTGCTTGCCTATATAATGCCAAGATCATGAGGGCAAGGGGGGCTCACCTCTCTCACTATTTTTTCGCAAACCCTAGCCACCGCCTCACTCTCCCCCCTCGCATGTTGGAGCCTTCGTCGGCGGACCTTCTCATGAAACCTCCGCGCTAGACCATCTTTGTAGAGCCTTCTCTACGGAGCCTCCGTCATGGAGCCTTCTCCGTAGAGCCCTTATACAAAACAATCATCAGACCTTCGTCTGAGACCTTCGTTCTGGGCCTTCGCCCCGAACCTCCGTTGGGAGACCTTCCCTGGCCGGGCCTTCATCCGAAGACCGTCGCTGGGAGCCTTCTCTCGCCAGCCTCCGCCGGGAGCCTTCTCCGACCGGGCCTTTGCCGGGAGCCTTCTCCCGCCAACCTCCATTGGGAGCCTTCTCTAGCCGGGCCTTCGCCGGCAGCCTTCTCCCGTCAACCTTCTCTGGAAGCCTTCTCCCGCCGGCCTTCACCAAGGAACCTCCACCTCTCAACCCTGTTCGGGACACTTGTCCCAACAGCATCGATCATCTAGCGAAGAATGTAATCTCGATACTTCTTGATGAATGAATCAAAGTCCGAATCGCAAAAAGAATATACTAGCGATATTTCCAACTGGACCCACGAGGATTCCTTGACTTGAAAATTCTCTTTGGACCTTGGATAATGTCATGAAAATTGATGAGTAGCCATGGGCCGAAGGGCCCAGAGATTCTTACCTTACCTTGACAACATCTTACCATGCGTCCCACTCCGCCACTCGTGTTTTCTTGACCGACCCTAGAGTACTTGACCCCCAACTGTAGATGATTACTAGGTAGCGTGCCCGTGCGTTGCTACGGGACAACTAAACTTTTGTACTAAAAATATACGGATCGCACGATAAGATAACAATACTGTAAGACATTAAGCTGACATTTAATCCAAAAAGCAAAGTTTATGAAATTAACCGTCACTAAGAGCACGGCACCGCAGGCTCACAAACTCTATTATATAGACCTTTCCGTGATACGGCTAAAATAATGTTTTATATCGGCAAGAAGTCTCCGATATTACAAACTAAATGAAGCAATCAAATATATCAGACAAACATTACTCAATCCACATATTTTAAACCTGTTTGGCCAATGAAAATGCACAAAATGACTATTATATTAAACTAAATTCATGTCCATCATCTATTCAAAGTGCATGTCACAAGCGTGTAAATAATTTTAATATTATTTAGTTCTCTAAATCTATGAGACGCAACATGATGTCCTTAGCAAATTCTTGAACTCAGCGACGTCTGGCTTCATCAACAAGTAGACGATTGTGTAGGCCTATAAACAAATAAAAAACTTTTGAGTCAGTGTTGTAGTCAATAAATTAAATCAATGAATTACCCCAAAAGAACCTCACTTTGAAAATCATGCGCCTGATTACAAATAGGACTGAATACCACTTCGCTGAAATCGTCAGTAGTGGTCACTCCACCTATCATGCACGAGCAAAAAAATGTAATAACTGATACTTTATTTAGTCAATACATATGAGGACATCAGTGACAATACCTCTCTTTATATTCATTTGTACATGACAGGCAATATTCAATCAAATGGGAGATGTAATCGAGCACTATTAGGAAAGTTGAAATAAATAGAACATGAAGAAGAATGGCACGATCAATCAGTAATTAAGATTAACCTATAATCAATGTGTAATATGTTTGACCCACCTATTGTACATTGTATATTTATTTATATGAACCTAAATAAGGGAAAGTATATTGACTACACTTGCTTGGAAACTAATATGTTAATCAATCCATGTAGTTTGCTGAAATGGTACTAAACAAATTTGTGTATAGTTGGACATGTAAATAAATAATCCTCATAAAAGTCTGGATTTCTAACATGTTTTAAATGAATGCAATCTGACAGTTGTACTTATTAGATAGGTGAGAAAAGAAAAAACACACAAACACATGGAATATCCATTACTAATAACAATTATCCTCTTATCAACACAAGTTGGAAACACCCAGACACAACAAATAGTCACATTTCTACATGAGCCCAAGTCCACAGTATTTTTTTATATGACCAGAAACACAGTAGAAAACCAAAACCACAGTAACAAAGTAATGACTCATTCTTGGAAGTTCTAAAAAAGAGACTGACTGTTATGGCCCTGGTCCATCAATATGGCAACAGTAGCATGTCACTTAGAGGAGATTAGGATCAACTGGTGTTTTTGTTAGCACATCTTTCGTTACCAGGTTCTTAAGCAAATCAAGATTGTTAGTTTGTTAGGACAATTAGTTAGTTTGTTAGGTATGACTATAAAAGCCCAGCCGCACCATCAGCTCGAGGCATGCAAGGAGGGTGACTTAGCTGGTTCTTCTTGCTATCCCATCTATCCCTTGTCAATCCGTATCTAAGATAAACTCAATCTCATTAAGTTCTGAAACTATATTTTCATTTGAATCGATTTGTTTTTTGTAGGCAAAAAATAAATGCAAACAGTACATAAATTACTTTTATTAAGACAATCAGACAAAGGTTCAACTTGCTTGTACAATATTTCAGTTGCTTAAGAGAGCTAATTAGTAATTAGGGGTTGTTGATACCCAACTTTGTCATCCTATCTAGAAGGTTTGTGGATACGATTCATGAAGACTCGTCATGTTCTTAGTGCCTTAGTGGTTTTCATAGTAACTGACTAGTTGAAGTGCACATCTCCTGCTATGAACAAACTGCATTAGGAGAAAGATGTGCTATGGAAACAGAGAACTTCTGCCTCTAATGGAGGTACAGGAGCAGAGAACAGGGCTATGGAAACAGAGAACTTCTGCCTCTAATGGAGGTACAAGAGCAGAGCATAGTCTCTTTGGGATTGATTAATCAATGTGCAAAGGTTCTTATCGTCACAGACCGCTGGCCAAATTATATATAGAAAGAGAGAAGCATGGACATGTTAGGGAATAAGTGGATCACAGTGAATCACTACTCACTTGCAAAGAAGAACCAGACAACTACTTCATTTCTAATACTATCCCCATTTTAAGCATGTTAAAATAGATTTCACAAACGATTATTTCCTTGGTTGAACATCACAAAGCATACAAACTTCTTACATGAGACATAATCAGTTGGTTTACAGAATAAGATAATAAGACATAAAAAGTATCAATCCATTCTGCATGCTCAAATTTCCCTCAGGATGTGCCTAGGCTTGCTACTTGTCCTTAAACCTACATCTCAATCACCTCCAGTTGACCTGTTATTATAATAAATAATTATAGAAAATCTATATGAACTCGAGTTACTGCACACACTGTTCTAATCCCAATTTTTTTATAATACAAACAAATGAACATAGTATCATTAGGAAAAGAAAAGAAGCACAAATCAAATTGCTCAAGTGCATCAAGTCACACGATAATCAAGTGACTGTAAGTATATGACCTAAAAATGCAGTGATAGTAAATAAAGAGCACCGAGCACATTAATTAATCTTAGAAAAAGAAACAGGAGCATCCAACGAGGCATTACCTCAAACACCTGTTGTGCATCCAGAACAGGAGCTCCACTCCCAGAGGAGAGATCCCACAAGCAAATCTTCTTATCATACGAGCCGCTCAGCAGCCACCCCTCCTTCATCGGGCTCCATGACAAGCCATAACCCTCCGCCTCATGCCCCCTGAGCACAACATCGGCGCCGCTCTTCCCGCTGCCGTCGCCATCGCCGAGATGGTACACGTGCACCTCGTCGACGCACGTTTTGGTGGCCACCGTATAGGAACGCTGCGGCATGCAGCGCGGGGTTGACCTCGCCACGGTGTGGCGCCACGCGGGAGATGGACACGGACGGGGACGGGACGGCGCCACCCGAGGCAGCGGTGGCTGCAGCGAGGCGAGGTGGGAGCGGCCGACGCAGAGGACTTCTTCTCGGCTACAAGCATCATGTTTTGCAACCAAGAATGCAATCCACAAATCCAGAGTCCACCGTAATACCATCACAAACCAGTACTAATAATTACCTGAGCAGAAGAGTACTTGCCGGCTGCCGGACCTCTGATCAGCTGGCCAAAGGGTGTGGCCGGCGACGATGGGGCAAGATGCAGGTCCTATGTCGCCACACTATCAGTCAAAAAGTACAGAGAAACAAAGACAAAGTTACAAAAAGAAATAACACAAAAAACAACAACAGTAGTACGGACAAAGTTACTTGCTAACTAAGAACCAAGTTTATCATGAGCCAAACCCATGATTGAGAAACAAAGACCAAGTTGCTTGCTATCAATTTATTTTTAATGAACCATCATCATTGGTTCACAAAGCATATAAGAAAACACACATCAAATAATCTTGTGCAATCCGCAAAGGATTGCATATTCAATCTGCAACAGCCGTTTTAGATCCATCTTCATTTTCAGGGTCGCAAAAACTTGTAACCCCTCGTCAGTGCCAGGTTTCAATCGCTTGCTCAGATAAAAAAATGTAGAATGCCAGATTCACAACACAACTGCAACTGTTGTCCATAGGCTAGCCCGAACGATCGACTGGACTGCGGCTGGCCAGCGGCCGGAATCTTTCGAACAAACATAAACAATGGATCAGAAATCGCGACTTACCGGCGTGGGGAGATCGACTGGTTCTTGCAGGCGCTGGTGTGGGCTTCGGCGTGCTGCGGCCGTCGTTGAAGAGGAGCAGGCGGATCCTTCGGCGTGGCGGCGTCCGGCGGAGACGAGGCACGGCGACGGGCACGACTCCTCGCAACGGGTGTTCGGCGGTGTTTGAGCAAGGGCAGGGCGAGGTGCCCGTGCAGGCGCGAGGGCGTGCCGCGGCCATCGTCGAAGAGGAGCAGGCGGATCCTTCGGCGTGACTGCGTCCGGCGGAGACGAGGCACGGCGACGGGCGTGGCAACGGGTGTTCGGCGGTGTTTGAGCAAGGGCAGGGCAAGGTGCCGGTGCAGACGCGAGGGTGCGGCGGCGTGGGCTATCGCAGGAAGGCGGGCGCGGGTAAAGATGATTGTGCATCGTGGGCGAGCGGCAGGCTACGGTGATTCCTTTTTATCCGGGACTACGGTGATTGCGCGGTGATTGCCACGAAGGAAAGTTTCACGGTCCCACCTGATGGCGTGAAAAGTTTCACGGGATGACGTTAGGATCGTAAGGGAGGCAGACGGATGAACCAAAACTAATATCACATCAAAAGATATCCACGTTTTGTTCTTTTTAGTCGTAGGAGATCAGGTCGGACGCGACAGCGCTCCGGCGTCCCCTCCTCGGCTCCTCGGCGGCGCCGCCCAGAGCGCTGTCATGTCCAGCGCCTACCCTTCAATGCGCCCAAGCGTGGCCACTGGTTGGGGCTGAACATTGGCGGGGCCACCCGGGCATTTTGATTTCGCCGAGAACTGGCCGGATCTGTGGACGCGTCCTGTCTCCACTGTCCAGTTGACTCACGAGCCGTGGTAAATGTTCTTTGATCTAGGTGTCAATTCCTTAAGCCAGTTGATGGTTTAGTGGCGGTTCTGTTCTTGCCTGTCTCTAGATTTTGCTAAAGTGCTATATAATCTATCATTAGTCGGCCGTTATATGTTATTGGAATTAAGTGCATTGCCGGACCGCACCACTGATTCGGAACTAGTGAAATTATACAAAGCTGTTTAAGATTCAAGTGCTCGTTTGCTGGCATTCAGGTATTGTGCCCACCTGAGAAGTAAAACTGATGTATTCCCTTATGAATTCAGTTCAGCTACAATGGGGATTTTGCTGCAACTAAGGTGTACAATAGATATACCATTTCAACCATACGAAACTAAAACTCTAAAGAACATATAATTGGCTATATGAGAATTGTGCCTGTTGGATAGTTTTTTTCTCTCTCAAAACAGTAGCAAAAGCTATTACCGTTTCAGTACTTGTTTTCTTATTTTCTGCCTATCGGACAGTGCAAGTCCAGTTTTAGGTTCTAAATTATATCATCATACAACGGTGGTGGTAGTGGTTTGTAATATCATCATTTATAGCTTCCATTTGGTTCTATTTTCTGCACTTGATATGTTTATTTTTGTTGCTAATTCAAATATCCAATTTCTGAAATTTTATTACTCAATAAACCTTTTCCTTGTAGGTGCTAGCTTGAATACTGATGGAGCCTTACGATTCCCTGTACCAGATGCCACTGTCATAAGGGGCGACAGCCTGCAGGAAGTTGCCTTTTTTGTGACCATGTGCCTTGGGACACCAGCTGTTCATAACCTTGTGACAATTGACACTGGTTCCTCTCTCTCTCTTTCTTCGGTTCAGTGTCGACACTGTGACATCCACTGCTATTGGCAAAGTGGAAAGGCTGGACTGATACTCAACTTACCAGAATGTCAAGTGCTCAACTGAGGTCTGCCGTGCCATGCACAAGAACTCTGTTATTTTTTCTGGCTGCAACATGCTTGCCTCTACAGAATACAATATGCATTGGGAGAATACTCAGTCGGGTACTTAGTCAAAGATAAGCTCACCCTTCCAAATTCCCTCAAAAAGAGTTCACCCTTCCAAACAACTACACAATACACAGTCTCCTTTAGGAGACGCAATAGATCATTGAAACTACAGTCTGACTAGCCGTACTTAGCCTTCAGGATAAGTAGCTCAAGCACAAAACGTAGCAATGTCCAATGTGTCGGACAGCCCTTTTGAACACCATACACAGTCTCCTTCGATGCATTTGTCGTTCTTTCCAAATTTTCTAGACCTTTCGGGCTCTTTAGTAAAATATCTGGCCCAAGGACTCGAATCATGTCCTCCAAATCATCTTCATCCCCGACACGTGCTACGCCATCATTATTGGCACCACCTTCATCGTTACCATCCCAACCACTAGCATCACCACCTTATTCATTGCCAAACTCAGGATCCATTCATGCATCAAGCTCTGCTGAATATTAGGACAGGGATTCTAGGGTTTCATCGTCGTATTCCTCCTCATCCTCGTCGTTAATAATAACCGTTTCACCATGATGAATCCACACTGTGTAGTCATCAACAAATCCTCGTATAATCAAATGTGATCTGATGATAATCACATCTGTCCATGCCATACGGTTGTTGCAATCTTTATAGGGATAAATAAGTGTATCATTATTCTCTGTCAACGTCGTTGCATGCTTTTTTGCGGCTTCAATAAATTTATCCACCTCTTCACGAAAACCTGCCTTGAACCTTAACGAACCATATATCCAATAGTTCATGTACTCCATCTTTTACAACAACAACAAAAACAAACATTAAATGACTACTTATTCAGATATATATATAAATGAATCAAATTAATAATTACTTGAGAATAATTGTATATACTTTAGATATATATGAATATAAATCAAATATAATTACATGAAGCATACAAACATACCATGATAGAGGAAAATTAATTAATAGCCTATTTATCCATAAATAATTAAAATATATATTTGTTGATTATAATAAATAATTTCAAAGATAATAATTAGCAACAATTAATATTTTACCCAATATCTTTCATGCAAACCCTAGTCCAATTTCATCAAACATAAATTTATAAAAACAAAATTAATAAAAAAATCAAACCCTAGATTTAGATCTAGATCTACATACACATGAAACATCCATAAAACTAACTAATTGTTCACAAAAATTAAGAAACATGGATCAAATAAGGATATGATCTTGTTCCCCTACCTAATTTACTCTAGTACATTCAAAACTTAGGTATAATTTACTTCATAAGTAGCTCAAGCATCATAGAAGAGAGAGAAAAGCAAAACTCTAATTACTCACTAACCAACCATTAAAACTTTAAAAAAAAGTGTGGAATAACATTTTCTTACCTTCTACTACCTCACCATCAAAGGATTTGAGATCAAAACATTCCTCCTTTAGTAGAGCAATTTTTGAGAGGTGCCCAAGAACTCTCTACCTTTTTTTTTTCACGGGTTGGAGTGAGTGACCCGAGGAGAAAAATGAGGCTGTAGGTTTTTATACGTAGGACATTTGTAGGGGCGGCTGGTGATTGAGTCGCCCCTATAAATCGCAACACCGGGGACGGCTGGTGAGTGAGCCGTCCCTACAAATCGACATATTTGTAGGGGCGGCTCGTATCACCAGTCACCCCTACCGTGCCATTTGTAGGGGCGGCTGGTCTCATGGGTCCCAAACACGCCCGCTGTAGGGGCAGCTCCATCACCAACCGCCCCTAAAAAAAATTGTCGTGTTACTACAAACGTTTTTTTAGTACATGTTAATAAGAAACATCAAGCCATCAAACTATAGTGGGATCAACTAGAACGGCTTAGATTTAGCATGAGCTTCTGAATTTGTATAGAGTAAAAATAAAAATCGTACAAATTAAAAGTATAGTATGGATAGGTAATTTTCAAAATGTACGTATGTCTGCCAACTTCAGTATAAACTAAATAGTTCGTCAGCTCTTGTTTACTCTTGGGTTTATTCTACGAAAATCCTAGCACAATTGCACAGGGGTGTGACCTAAAACCTAAAGGCTGGACTGACTTATGAAACGAGAATTCAAAAAAAAAACCCTCTCGATGCCGGCCCAATCATGTGGAGAGCACATGAACGTCACGTGATCATCAAGAATCCTATAATCTGTTCATTTCTTCTGGTAACTGTAGCATAGTACTTATTCCGATCACAGAAACTTGTCGACAGTATTTACTCATACATTTAAATCTACACACATAAATAATCATTACATTATTTAATTAGAAACATATGAGTTATACGTTAGCGTTGTATTAAAAAATAGTGTATATTTTACCAAAAAAAATAGTACTGAAAGATATGCATTAAAAACCGTACAATAACTCTAGATGTATTTTTTATCAAACTATTTTATGTTTGATCAATTTTATATTAAAGAATATCAACATTTAGGATTTTAAGTAGTTATATTATGAAAGTATATTTAAATATTAATCTAATGGTATTTAGAGCATCCCAACCAGACAGGCTAGCTATTAACCCCAGCCTCCATGTCCGCACGGAGACTCCAGATCACACACACTAGTGGTTTCGCAGACATTCAGATTAGCTCGTAGAAGCAACAGCAGCATCACCAGACAAAACGTTGAGGCACCATCTAAATTCACATCGTGACCAAAGTTGTTAGCATCTTCATTACACGCTCCCACTGTTTACGTGGGAGGCTAGTAAAGAACTCTAACAAAAACTAACGGTCGATGGTTTTGGCAGATCGCGGCTGATAAGCCGGCTGATGCTGTTTTACTATGAGAGAAAAAAACACTGTACCATGGCTGATAAGCCGGATTGATAAGTTCAAATAAACGGGGCTGAAGATACTTTTTATGGAAAGCAACATCTTATGATGGGAGATCTGCAGTCTTCAGTTGATAGCTGCTACATGGCCTATACCTTTAGCTCAAAGATATGGTTTTGACTGTTTGTGTTAAGCCTTTTTGAGAACCAAGTGTAACTAAGCTGGTTAGATTTCTTATAGTGAAACATGTTCATTGTCTAAGTTTAAATTCTCGATTTGATATAGATGTTTGTATTTTTAACATTACGCTGTCCTGCAGTTAATCGGTTCCGGAAACTTGAAGCGACGTAGAAAGAGTCAGAAAAGCTTAGACTTTCTCTGACAGGGTTAGCTCAAAAATGGAGAAGAAACGCACGCGTGAACGAGAAGCGAGAACCAAGAGCCTCATGAGCATCCATGTGTGCATAAAGAGGAAGAGTAGGAGCAGAGCAGGAGACGAATGATGGTGCCATCACCTCCAGCTCAAGCCCTCCCTTCAATCCAACTCCACCTACGCAAAAAACCTCTCCATTCTC